CGTATGCACCTACGCGACGCGTTCTCGGAATACGCGAACCGAGTAACAGGTGGCACGAATAAGAGAGATTCGCGGGTATATCGGTAACGTTCGTTGCGGATAGTACGTGTGCACCGCGATAGCCGCAAGATTCGTCCGTCGTCGAAGGCTGCACCACCAGGCGTTTCGAAAAGGAAATTCCCCACCAGTTGTGTAACTCGTTTCCGCGGATCGCGCTCGCTCCCCTTTTTTGGCTTCGGCTCCCCATCGTCCTGGCCCTCGATTTATCCAGGGTTCCTGAACAAAGATCGTTCCAAGCGGAGGTGTCATGAATTTTCGAAGTTAACGACGACGACGACGAGTGTCGTCTGCAGATGAAGCTTTCACGAAGGGGTGACAAATTCTCGTTGGAAAGGTATCTTGGAGATTCCAGTCGCCACGTAAGTGGACATATTTTCTTTAAAAAAAACAGTCTCTGGTTTTGGAGTCTGATGTCTCTCGTATTCCTGTCTCGATGTGATTTGATTCCTTTTGAGTTATAGAAGTATTACTGACGATTACATCTCATAAAAGACTTATTTCTGGGGCTTGGAATTCTTTATTGCGAGGGACTGAAATTTTTATTTCTTTCAAAATCATAAATATCGTTCGAAAAAGCCGTGTTCACCGACAGAGATGACCGGTTCTCTCGAGCGGGTGGAAAAGTCCGTTTGTTCCTATTTCGTTACGGTCGGATGTGCTCTGATTCATTGCCGTTATCTGCGGTTGCGAGTTATAGGGCCGTTCGTGAAATATTTACGACCAGATCCCGATAATTTCATCTAGGAGACCTATTTCTGTCGCCCTAAATTCTCAATTTCCACGTACGCAAGTGGTCACGTTCTCTATAGCCTCATACAGATCGAGAAAAAAACGGGGGCACATGTGCTCGAGTCGTCCGCCAACGTTCGCCAACGTTCGCCAACGTTCGAGCACATTTGCCGCCGATTACCTCGACTTTTTCTTCTTCTCCAGTCTTAAGGAAAATAAACCTTTGCTTCTCTAGTCGTAAATAGACCTAGAAGACTTAGTTCTATCATCCCAAGTTCTTAACTTACACGAATTACAGCTAATCGACATATTTTCTCTACCCAGTAAAAAGAAAGACATGTCTACTCGAACGGAATCAACCATTTTCTCGGTCGCGAAGAGTCCATCCATTCTCATTTCGCCATGAATGTCATTCGTTGTGATTCATTGCTGCCATTGTTACGAAGGACGAGCCCCAGCCGCGGTGCCGAGTCGGCTCCCAATGAAAACCGATCGAAACGCAAGTTTTCGAGGTACGACCGGGAACAAGGGTGGTTTTCCTTCTTTTCGTAGAATTTATGGCGCGCGTAACCCGACCAGGAACCTGTTGCTTGAACGTTCTTCGGCATTGACCGAGCCGCGCCACGGCCAGGAGCTCTCTTACCTTTGCGGTGCGCGTGCGTTCCGATCGATCGTCTCGACGATAATGTCCTTTCGTGCGAGAAACTCCGAGTTTCAGCCACCGACAAAGTCACTGACGACAGCTACTTCCAAAGGAAACTGTCCGCCTCAAAGGACGATCGTGGCTTGCTTTTTTTTATTGAAAAAACTCCCCCTTTCCTCGAGGGTAGTATCTTCAAGGGGGTATTCGGCTAATCTCCGTTTCGAAGAATAGGGGTTGAGTGGAAGGGTCGGGAAAGTCTGGATAAGGGTAGTCGTCGTTAGATCAAAGAGGCATACTTGGGGGAGATTTTTGTCGTTCCTGTAAGTGGGCTCTTGTCATCGTTGCCCAGTTAGGGGAAGTCCAGAGGAAGCATTCGCGTGTCCAGCTAGATGCGCGCGCCGTGTCTATCGACCTTCGAGGACGTCGTTGCCACGTGCGCGACCCAATGCGTCCCTGACTCGATTTAGGATACGTCGTTGATGCCACGAACGTACACATAGACGATGTTGTGGACATTATCCTGAACGAGGCCGAATCGCGTCGTTCAGGTCGTTCTATTCAACGACGCGCGTCCAGGTCGTTCGTGACCGCCGCGACGTCGGATTCTCGTGTATTCCTGGTCCGCCGTTGCCAGTAACGGGGATGATAACAACGTTGCCGTATATATAGAGCTGTGGTATGTAGCAGATAGCGGGTGTATAGGCACGAGTATAGTGACTTTCTCGGGACATCCCCGAAGCGATCCGTCATCGATCTGTCACGCGATACTCTCGTCGACTACATGCCGACAGTGGGATTTTTCTCATTGTCAGGCTAAACTGTCCGCTACAAGGGTCTTAGTGGATCTGGGTTAGGTTCACCTTTATTCTTTTTTTTTTCTTTTCTGGCACGGGACTTTGTTGCTACACGATTTTAATCCTTTGAGCAGCGAGGATTTGGAGCGGCGGAGAAACATCCCAGACAGACGTATGTTACAGAGATAACTTTTGCTGAGAAAGGGATGCAAATTCGATATTAATGCACGATTTAAATTAAAGCACGGGTAATCAGGACAATTATTTTAAATAATCATACCAGAAACTTGAATTTTTTTCTTTCGTTCAATATTTTTTCTTATATTATTACATACTGTATGCATTTTGTAGTTGCTTGCGCATTCAAATTTCTTGTAAATACATACAAATTCGAAATCTTCTGATAAATACACCTATTTGCTTTTTTTTTCTAAAATATATTGTGTTCTATTCGCCGTCAATGATTTAAGATTTTTTGTGCGCTGCCAGCGAAGAGGCGCGATAATATTTTCTGCCTAGGGATGTAAATGAAGCAAATATGGCACTGCAGCTGGCCATAAATTAAAGGTTGTATTGCTTTGGCACAGAATTCAAAACGTACATGTACGTTGGTACTGCGGCAGGCTGGCTAAGGTACGACGTGGATATACGTTCGTGCTGCTCGGAGGATTAAGGAAGAATCTTTCCTTGAAAAAGTATTCGTACGATATTCCAGATCGCGTAATTGTGTAACCAGTAGATGGGCGATTTGTCCAACTTTCTTTGGCAACAGAAGCCGTCCTCTTGACTGCAGCTTTCCAAAAGATATTCCTCCTCATTTATTAAACGTGAATGCGATCGGTTTAAAATAATGCAAAATTTGGATCGTATTAACGTACAAAGACAAACGAACACTTTACCGACTGGTTACATAGTTACTCATCGACTGATAATGGCAACCAAAACACAGTCTTTGCGCCATAACTCATTCATTATTGAACGTCTTTATCTTCCTAGAGCGAAACTCCGTGTAGTCGCCTGTGTACATGAAACTTCCTACCAAGTGTGGAAAGGCTTTTTAAGCGCACTTCTGGCATGGTGATTTATGGCTATATCATCTTGTCTTCTTGCTGGGTTTACGAGGACAATGTAAGGGATGTGTCGGTGAACGTAGTACGACTATAAAGGGGTGCCTTTTCATGCGAAAGCGAATTGAATATATTATTCTACATTTATTTTCCATATATAGTAAAACAGAAATAGACTATATGTTAAATAGACTTTTTACACTCGTGCTCGATTATTCTATACTCGTCGTTATCGTTCTATTTTCATCTGATTTATTAAAAGCATAGATTACACATCGACACTCAGGGTTATATTACATCACCTACTATGATTATTGCTACGCCAACAAAAATTAAAATATTTGAGGGACTAGTTACTTATTACACACCAAATTAAAAATTGTATTCATCGTTAAAAAAAAAAAAGAAAACTAAATGCCCTCTCCCGAGTGATATCACGATCGTTGGTACACCCTGTATTTATTTCACCAATACGGCGATACAGTGGTGGTGGTGGCTGAGGCAGTGGCGGTGGCAGAAGCGGTGGCGGTGGTACCGGCGAGTAGCTAAGATCGATCCAACAACCCCCTTCTTTCGACCGACAGACCGACCGACCGACCGTTCGCCCGACCAATCCAACAAGCAAATTCTCCCTTTCCGTCAGCCTACTGTCCACCGCTGTCCGTATGTATCCTGCACATTCTCCGCGTCGTTTAACCGCCGCCCGTTATTTTCGCCATATTGGATAATTCGAGGCGTCGATACAGATCAAGTTCGCGGTCGTTCGAAGGACGTCGCTTTCCGAGATGGCGTTTAAAATCCTTTCACGCGTGGGAACGACCAATTTTGATTCCTCGACAAACACTTCACCAACCCCCGAGACTCAGAGTTGGGCAAAACTTCATTTTATTAATCGATGACGGATAAACACATTTATTCGATTGAGTAAATACGATGAGGGTGGGAAGGGAGGCTATTTTAGCAGCAATTCTAGCATGGATTGGTTGTAGTTTTATGCGGCGTTTATTTTCCCATAGGTGCAAAACGAAATATCGTTTGTCTTTTGTTCGTTACTCGTGATTCTTTATTTGGGTGAGAATTATGGCCATCCCTGCTAGGGCGTTTGGTTCCCCAACTTGTAGCGCGACTAAGGTCCGACAAGTTAAAGAATCGACTTTGGTGATATTCCTACAGTTGCATTATAATACGCGCAGAGTGTTGATGAAAACATGGAATCAACATTTGGAATCAATTCTTCGTGCAAAAAGGAGGGAAAAAGTCCTGTACCATTTTGCGATCTGAAACTACGTTGTCTAGATACGAGCAATTAAAATTTGCCTGCGTGATTCTCGGCGCGCGCCATTTGTCATCAGCTGATCCCCGCTCACGCGGCCATGACACTTCCCCAACACGCTCGCGCGCGCAATAACTTTGACTACGTATAACCCGACAACGAGGCCTCGGATGGCAAAGCGGAAAAGGACTTTTCGCTTCCTATTCGCGCAACGAATTAATCCCTAAAAGAGCTTTCACATTGCTATGAGCACTCTGTATATATATTGTATATATACATCCGAAACTTGACAAAGGATGCATAAGGAATATCAGAAAAAAAGATTCCCTTCCAGAGTGCGATAGGATTAAACTAAAGTAACAGGAGTGGAGGTAATCCGAGTTTCAAAATTTGTTGTCTGACCCAAGTCGATTCCTTCACTTGACGGGCTATAGATCCCTAGAATAGTCGTCGAACCGAGATTTGGAACCTTCATGCGTTGCGCGGCCATGAACGTGGCATGAACACGATCGAGCGGAAGTTCATTTCTGGGTCGCGATTGAAACGACGAGCGTGTCTTCGATTTAAGAGAGAAGAGAACTACGCATCTTGGAAGAGTGTGAGGGTGTGCGAGGCACGTTTTGCGTGCGCTCCGGCTCGTTTGAACGGACAATTTGCTCGTTGACGGGAATGTGAAACGCGGTTCTTCGCGATATTCGTGACTAAAGAGACTCTCGGAACGACAGAACCATGTGGGCTGCAGTCACGAGGTCTTTGGAAATACTGGTTGCCTTCTTCGAGTATTACACCGCCAGGTAAGAAGTGTGAAACGGGCAATCGCTAACCACAGATTAAATCGATGGGTCGCGACAGGGCGACGACTCGAAGGGTAAGGTAGCTTTTGCAAATTTTTGTGTAAAACATTTTCAAAATGACTAAAGAACTCGAAACATAATTAAAATAAAAACTTCCAAGTGTATATACTGTTGCAAGCCTATTTGGCTATATTAACTAACTATAAACTACATGAAGTTAATGAAATTTATTACAACAATATTCTTTCGTTAAGATATTTAAAAATAAATGAATTATCAGGAGAACGTATAAAATATTCACACGTATAATTACAGTTCTTATTCATATCAACTGAAGTATACAATTATGTAGGAGAACACTTGAAACTTTCGTGACCAATAATAAATTGAATGCCTTTCCTCTGAGGCAACTTCACTGTTTCAATCAAGATAATAATAATTGGCAGTGTGCAGTCAGCGTATGGCGTCTTTTCATGAATCGATCATTTAATTATCCACAAATACACCCTTGCTATCCTATTTAAAATCTACCACGTTCATTTTCCCCATTAATTATTATACATAAATGTTCTTATGCATAATCATTATCTGTACCATTATTTTATTACGATTTACATACTTCGCAGGTAATCTTCATCAAAATTTATTAACATCTACACGAGCATCACGCTGACATGGCATATAAATAAAAAAAAAGTATGTTAATGAGTTCTATTAGAAAATCACAAGAAATTTCTAAAAGCTTCCTTACTTCTCAACCCGTCAGCCTGTCAGAAGCTCTTAAGAGGTTATATACAGTTGAGCACTCTAAAAAAAGGCTCGAGTTTATGGACTTTTTTTAGTCGAACAGTTAATTTCATTAAAAAGTTCCTCTACACTAATAGAGAGTACTGTTTGTGTACGGAATTCAAACAAAATATTGAAAAATAATTAAGCTAGAAGAAAAACATCAAATAAATTTGTAATGAATATTAAAATATGAATTACGCTAATATACTTCACAAATTTATTCATTATGAAAAGAACTCGCAGACTGATCTCCAGTTTAATTATTCCTCAATAATGTTTGCCAATCTTTCGTTTTCAATCTATTCACGTACCATACTTTCCACTAGTGTAAATAAAATTTTTTCTAAAACTAACAATTCAACCAAAAGAAGAATTATAAATCGAGTCTTTTTTTTTTAGTGTGGCAACAGTGTATACACCTTTAACAAGATAGATGGATCCCAGCAATTACGAACAGCGAGCGAATAATGCTTCTTGGACGATGACTCGCGATACCGGCGCATATCTTTCTATCTCTTTCTCTCTCACTCACTCTGACTTTCCACTGTCTATCTCCGTTTCTCTCTCCTGCTCCGAGTAGCTTTCCTTTCGCTGCTGCTTTTTCCAGACTTTTCACGCGGTGCCGCGTTTGAAGCGACCGTTCGCAAGCATCCGACTCGGGGCGATGATTCTGCTTTTTTCTTCCTCGATTCAGCTGATGAAAGTACCGTTTAAAGGTTAAGGTTGGGACCCTGCGAGACACACGCGAGAAAGAGCTTCGGGATCTCCCGTCGAAGCGAAAGTTCTAAATAATCTTCTTCATTTTTATTTCTCCTCTCCCCCTCGATCCCGTCGGAGTCCTCTTCTGTTGTGTTTTTGCGGCGAGTTCAGGATCATCCAAACTCATTAACTCGTGTCTCATTTTCTTTTGTTTCATGCCTCCTTTCGGCGTGTTACCGTTGGAATCCAGAGCGCAATTGGAGTAAGTATGCGACGAGTTGGAGAATAGCGAAAAATTTTACTCGATACCTATTTTTCTCTCGTACTGCTTCACTTGACTCTTCTATCTTCTCTTTCAATTTTTCCTTCCTAATGGAAATATTCCGTTCGCGGATGGGCGCTGCTTTACTTGCGTAAGTAGTTCTATTCGATTATGTCTGTCTAGTCCCCCGATCCCTTTGGACTCCGTTGTATAGCGTTTAAACGAACACCATTACAAACGTTATCGTTCAAACGACGATTAGTTACATGCGTCACCTAATCACCTATGCGCCGTGTACTCGTACCGTACTGTCCTTCGAGTTATCACGTAGTTATCCCCACTATATCCCCAGACTACTCGCATGGATCCCTATTTCTTACTCTATTTCTTACTTCTCGTACTCGTTGTACTATACTCTTCTTCGCGTTGTCACAGAGTCATCTCCATTACCGTTAACCGTCTCACGTTCATTCTTACTGTTTCTCACACTCATCCGCGGTGTACATAAAGTCTAACAAGACACGTAACAGCGATTAAATTTCACCTACCTGTCTCTTAGCTTGTCGCAGCATTGTCTCGATCTTGCGACAGCCTGAGAGGCAACATAAGCCTCCCTGGACCATGTCCTTCGGGTTATCGCTGCGTTCGGGACAGTCCGAGGGACAACACTGCACCCAATTTCCGCCTCGAACTCGATCGTTTCAAGTTCCCCTTTTTACCAGAGCGGAAACGATCTTCTCACAGAGATCCAACACGAGATGTACCTTAATACGAATCGTGGAGTACCTTTCGAAACGTACCGTCGCGCCTGTTTAGTCTGAATGTTTTAGAGCTGGGTAGAAAATGAGACGAACGCAAAGTGCGCGTTGCTTCCTAGTCTGCGTGCTTTAGATAACATTCCTGAGACGTTGTCCGTCGTAGTCAGTAGTTTCCCTGGTCGCCGTTGTCGTTCATTTTGAACCTGATCATGGTTAATTGACCACTCGACGTTTACATTTTTTTTTTTAGAAAATGTAAAATGTGTCATTGGCAATTGGGTAGATGTCATTGGGACAGTAGCGTCGTTGCCTGAGCAACAGGCGCCGCGTGGTGCGCAAGCTAGATGCGCGGGAGACCACTCTCAGTTAATTGTAACCAAAACTGAGTAATATCGAATTTCTACTTGTACCTTCAGAAAAATTGCCAATGATATCTTCTGTTAAATTAGAAACCAGTTTCGTTCATTGATTCCTCAACTCTCGTATCGACTCCGATTCATCTTCAAGACCTATAATTCGTCTCAGATTTCTATAGAGAATTTCACGAAGCAACAAAATATATATCCGGTCAATTATAATGGAGTGAGGTACCCAACCGCGGGACGTCGACAACGGCGACCTCGATGAAAATAGAAAGGAGATGTCGGGGTGTGAAGGAAATATGAAGGAGTGGTCTTATGGGTTTTGTTGCAGGACAACTGGTAGTCCGGCGAACAAGACAGCGGGGCCGACAGGTGCCGGCGGTGTCGGCGGAAGTGGAGTTGTAGGATCAAGCGCGGGAAGCGCAGGTGCTAGTGGATCGACGTCGAGCGCAGCTCTAGGTGGCGGCAGCTCTGGATCGGGGGTAGGCTCTGGATCGGGATCTGGATCTGGATCAGGCATTGGAAGTGCAAACGCTGGAACCAGCGGCATCGGCGCAGGCGCAAACGCGATTTCCGGCAGTGGCGTGGGTGGCGCCGCCGCTGGAACGGGGGAGCCACGGACGCCAACCGCTGGTGCCCAAAACAAACAGCTGCAGAATGTCAAAGGAGATCACCCGTCGGTACGCTTTATTAAGAATCATTTTTTAGGGAGTATAGACAACGTTTAAAAACAGAGACGAGGAAAAAAGACGCGTAGATTTTTGTTAGTTGAATACAAGTTTGCCTACCGCGGTATAGACGCAGAAGTCGAATCGCGCATTTCTTGCCTTGGTTAGAAGATACAGTATACAGGTTTTAAATATAAAATTATCGAATAATTAAATGTTCCAAGGTGAGACTCTTGAAACTCACATTTTTATACGTAAAATATGGTTTAATCTCTGGCGTGAAAATACCAGCGTTGAAAGTATCCCACTTAGCATGACAAAAGAATTGCAGCTACGAAGCTTACCGGTGCTCAGCAAACAAAATTGACGTTTCTTGATTTGTGAGGCCATTAACGTTGTAAGAGGCGATAAATTGAATAGAACAATGACCCAACCTCAATGATAATGTGCACGCGTGTGACGTTAACTGATCTACACGTTAACGTTACATGTCACGTAGCATGCAGTCGGTGATAACAGTGCGCCTCGAAGCAATTTAAAAACGGCAGCAAACTCGGGCTTCCGTTTCACCGCGGCTCGAGTAACGCGATAGTGATGTGTTTCGACTTATTGTTAGGCTCGGTCGCCGTTCGGAAATATCAGACAGAAACGGCTCAACGATCGATTCCGTTGCGATGTATCTCGTTTCAGAAAGCTTTCCTACAAAGCAGATCCATGTCCTTGGTCGACATGTACATCGACAACTCGGAACCTAGCGAAAACGTTGGCCAAATTCATTTCAGCCTGGAATACGACTTTCAGAATACCACGCTCATCCTTCGCATTATACAGGTTAGTGGTTCGTTGCGGATACCTCCACAAAGGTAACCAGACTTTCATTTCGAGGAACAGAAAGATTAACGCTTTGGCTGTTGGACGACTTTCGCTGGAAATTCTAAGGGCCGCGTCGCTCGTACAGGGTCGTAGTTTAAACCGAAAATATATTACTATTTATTGCATTGTTTTTTTAGAAAGTAATAGGCCTGAACACAAGAAGTATTAAATGTTGTTTAAACGTATTCGCGTGGAATTTGTGTAATTTTTACTACGTGCACTAATCTCGAGAAACAAATGGATAATATCGTTGGCTGCCAGTTACTTATTTGTTATTAATGAACAGTATCTTCTACAAAATCTAAAGTTGGTAGATGAGAACCAACGCGAACGACAACTCTCTGGGGCTGCGCATAAATTTTTAGAGCCCACGGACGGCGGTGAGCGGAAAGTCTGAAAACCGTCGTGCTCTAAAGCAGCGTTCGACACAAAAGATTCATGCCTGCACTTTGAGGGAGGCTATCCTAAAGCATACTCTACAATGGCGTCGACGTTCGCGTTCGTTTTGATCTTGCTATTAAGTGAAAAGTAAAGGGGAGGAAGTGAAACGACAAGAGCTGGGACTATTCGAATCGTTTAGAGTTTAAATATTTTAATTGCGATTATAACAATTTACCGGTGATCCGCGGATTCACGCTCATTATGTACACACGGAAGATAGTGGTATTACAACAATATTTGTCCCTCGACACGAATCATCTCGAGCACTGTTTATCTTTAATTATTGCCAGCCACCCGTCTGCTGGCTTGGCTGGTGACCGAATAAACAAAAGTGAATCGACCCCCGAGCGACCAGTAATTGAAATTAAAATTGTTATTCTTCTCGATATATTTGCGTGAGATTATTATAAACTAATTGATGGAGTTCTCCCGATGAGAACGAGTCCAAACACGACACCATTCGGACCACTTTTAATTCTACGTTTAAAGAAAAGAAATTCCAATTAGTTACAATTAAAAGTAGACCAAATGTGGCCATATTTGAACTCATATTGATCCAGGAATCCTCTCAGATCCATCGATAATACTTTCATTAAGATACCACGAAGAAAATGAAAATGTAATTTTCATTAATGGATCAGATAAAATCGTTATCCTCCCACGATATAACGCTACTAATGACGTTTAGTATCGAGGGACTACCGTAATTTAATTTACAAACCAAATTACAATCCACGTCACGCTATTCAAATACGCAAGTGAGATTCTAATTAAATTCGACGAGCAGTCTCAGCTCTAATGAACATTAACACGAAAAATCCGTGTTAATCAGGAGATTATTAGAATCAGGCCTGTTAGAACCGCCAAAGTTTTCACGTACTCGAATCCAGGAAAATTTGACGAGTAGTTCTAGCATTGAGGGACGATAAAAATTAATTTCAGGGTAAAGATCTGCCGGCAAAGGATTTGTCGGGGACGTCCGACCCTTACGTTCGCGTGACCCTTCTGCCAGACAAAAAGCATCGACTGGAGACGAAGATAAAAAGGCGCACGCTGAATCCTCGATGGAACGAGACGTTCTATTTCGAAGGTGAGAAGAGATATTACAGTTTCCAGAGAAGTCGAATTCCGCTCGACGGTGATCGGGCCGTTTCGACAAAACTTTCTGCTCGTGTCGCAGGTTTCCCGATTCAAAAGTTGCAGAGCAGAGTGCTGCATTTACACGTGTTCGACTACGATCGATTCTCGAGGGACGATTCCATCGGGGAGATGTTTCTGCCTCTCTGCCAGGTAATTCGCGTTAACTGCCGTCTTCCTCTCGCCGAATACGTCGTAATTTGCGACAGCCAGAATTGGGCGGTAATGGGCACGAAAAGTGATCGTTAATGATGGAGCAAACGTCGCTGAACAAAAGTAATCGTTAATCGATATCAATGGCAATCGTAAACTACATAATACAATCCTAAATACATTAAATTATCCACTTCATTATTTAACTATAATCAGAACGGTAACCGTTCCGCAATTAGGAAAATTCACCTCCTCGACGCGATCATGATGAAAAGTGTAATTATTTCCCAATTAACTGTTAAGGCGTCAACGATGATAGGTTAGGTTGCCCGAAACTCTCCCATTAATCACGATTACGATTGCCCAGTAATCTCAATTATTAATCATCGGGTTACAACCGTGTAACGGCCGCCGTCGTAATCGTTAATCATCGATCAGATTACAATTTCGCCGAAACGCCGCGCCGTGGGGCGGCGTAGAGTTTGCATGTCGTGCGACTCATCTAATCGATCACGACCGTCGTAGGTCGATTTCTCGGAGAAACCTAACTTTTGGAAAGCTCTCAAGCCCCCGGCAAAGGACAAATGCGGAGAGCTGTTGTGCTCGTTGTGCTACCACCCGAGCAATTCCGTGCTGACTCTGACGCTTATGAAAGCGAGGAATTTGAAGGCGAAGGATATCAACGGGAAGTCAGGTGAGATAGGCAATTGCAATTACGCGATGCGGGCCGGAGATGGGCACGATTATCGCCTAGACAGAAAGGTCAAATTACAAATAAAGTACGAACCTTTTTTCTTTAACGTTGAAATTGAAATCTGACAATTTGAAATTTTTAACAAACATCGAGCTCCTGATTATTCAATTTTCGATATTTGATTCACGATCGATACTAGTCTAATTTAAATGAAAACTTTACACGTTTATAATGAAAAATTTGTGTGGAAATGTCAAGTCTACCATTTAATTTAGATAAATTTCTTTGAAGACACAGAGGGTATTGGACTGTAGATTCACTCCACCCTACTTGAGAGTAAAGCAATAAAGACGTGTAATCGTTTCGCCCATCATGAACGAAAATGGAAACGAGATTGGGAATGTACTGTTTATTCGTTCGACGTGTTTAGATCCCTACGTGAAAGTGTGGTTGCAATTCGGCGACAAGAGGATCGAGAAACGAAAGACCCCGATATTCAAGTGTACTCTGAACCCGGTCTTCAACGAAGCGTTCTCCTTCAACGTGCCCTGGGAAAAGATTCGAGAGTGTTCGCTGGACGTAATGGTAATGGATTTTGATAACATCGGCCGAAACGAGCTGATCGGACGGATTCAACTGGCAGGTAAACAAAAACACTCGAAAACATTAATTTCATTATAATTTAGATCGCAATCTTTACATAATATCCCAGAAAATCTGTAAACTTTTCCAAATTCGCTTTCGATCAAATAAAATAAACAACAAAGGTAGTTATTTGCAAGTAATCCACAAGAAGAATGTGGAAACAGAAATAGGGCAGATCGTGTTTAATGCAATGGACGTGTTTACTTCATAAGTAGATTGTGCACCGGAACACACGAGGACAATGCTACTCGTATATCTAATACACTATTGAACCTGTGTCTTCCCTTTGTTCTTAATCGAGTCAAGGTTGAGAATACTAGTTCACACGAGAGGTCGTCGTGAATGGTAATAACAGCAAATATAGTTGTCCAGCTTAATAATGGAACTTGTTCAATTCTAAGCCAACACGATGACAAAGTTAGCTTTCTAGAACCATTGTTTGTAAAATTCAATATCGTTGTAAGATCCTTCTTCGATATATTATTCCTGCTGCGATAATATTGTTGTAGGCCGCGGGTAACTCATTCTCTTCTTGCGACAAGTTCAATCCAATCATTGATTCAGGACTTTGAAAAGCAAACGAATCATTTATATATACGATTATTGATTCAGGACTTTGAAAAGTAAACGAATCATTTGTATATACGATTATTGATTCTGGACTTTCGAAAGCAAATGAATGTTTGCCTGGTCGGGGCGACCTACTGTGAAGATTGATTAATTGATAACGCCTTTGTTACACAAGTAGAGAAAGTGTACGTATTATTTCATTTTAATTAGGTCATTTGTTTATTTATTTATTGAACTGAAAATCGAAGTTTGTTTGACCAAAACGATATTCATTAACGCCTCGGTATTCAACGGAATACTGATTGAAATGTTTCAGGGAAAAACGGGAGCGGGGCGAGCGAAACGAAACATTGGCAGGACATGATCACGAAGCCACGCCAGACGATCGTTCAGTGGCATCGACTCAAGCCTGAGTAAACGTTCGAGTGCGCGATCCATATCTGTATTTCGCGGGAGCGAAATCGTCGATCTAACTTATACCAGTACCTCCCGATCTCTCGAACCTGCTCGACTAAATTGGTATTCGGTTGTCTTCCGACGACGCGAAACCGATCGTAACCATTCTACGCGTCGTCGTTGGGTGTCGGCGCCGATTCAGGCTTCGAAAGTCGCGAATCGGCCAAAATGACCGCGACCGTCGATCGAGACGCCACGTTTCCCCTGTTCTTGGGTTTCCCTCGCGTCGCGCGTGGTCAGCCTGCGCGTATCCACCATTGTTGGGCAAACCACGATCCACGATTACGATTATCGAGCGATCAGCGATCACTATTATCGATTAACAAATAATCAGACAGGGTTAACACCGTATGGTTATCAATTGCTCGTTTCCGATTGCAAATTTCTTGCTAACAATCGTGAGTATCGCAAGTGTAATCGCAAAGTGATCACTGCCCAGCTCTGGTTCGCCCCCTTTTAGGTTAACCTTCCGCGCAGAATGGAAAGATCGAGCGTGGCTCCCTCTACTTTCCGACAATACGACTCACAAACGCCACGCGGTCTCTCCCCGACGGGTCGAAGAGTCTCGCGAGGCGATATACGATTTTCATTTGAATCCGCGTCGACGATATTCCCTTATTACGACGTCACGGGCCGACGCTTTACATATTTCACTCCCCTCCCCAACCCTCCCCCCCCCCCGCACACACACACACACACACACTTTCGCCCCGACCTCCCCCCGACCATCGATACCCACTTGTTTTTCTTTTCGTTTCTTTTCTTCCTTCGTGCACGACAACGACTCAACGGGCGAACCGTATTCGAATTCACTTCTGACACGAACGATAAACGAGAGCTCGTTTTCACGCGAGATTGCGTGCCGCGGTCGTATACGTACAACTTGAGCGGCCATAGACGCTCGATAAACGTGACCGATCGATGTTACTTTCGCGACTTTATTGACATTTACATCGAACGTTATTTTTATGACTGTTTTGCACGCGTAAATACGTACCTAGTACGTGATACCGTTGCTTCGAGTAACCCGTTGACGCGATCAAGCGTTTCCTATGTCTCGTGTATCCGGTGTCTTTCGATTCCAGCGCCAACCGCCAGCCCCGAGCGGAGCGGAAGCGTCGCGAACTACCGTCTAGTCGAGTTCCGCGTTGCTCTTTTTCGCGTCGGCTCCCGCGGATCACCGTTTGGTAAAACTTAACAATTATGGTTCCCTAGCGATCAGTCGTCACTGGACGGTGGATTCAAGGTACTCGTGTCTATATGGAAAACTTGCATGGAACGTATGCGTAGAATGTACTCCATGAATCATTTAATAATATTAATAGTTCATTTTGCATAGGTTTCCCATTATTAAGGGGATAAATGCGTAGAATCTGCAGTCTAGTGATCACGATTAGAGATTGATAAATAATCAGTGATGATAAGTATGGAAGATTTCAAAGTAATGCCTCGGATATTGATAAACCTTGCTCGGATTCGCGAACAGACGTTACCTTGACCACTATCTATGAATCTCATCCCGCTCTCTGTCGACCCAACCCCGGCTAGTGATAACTCGCAAATTTTTCAACACCATCCAAGACGTTGACAAATGTATCTTCCAATTGTTGATTACCGATTAATCCGACAATTGCCACTGATCATCCCGAAAGTAGTCGCAAAGCGATCACGTGGCTGACGGTGCTGCATAAAGCGGGTCGATGCGGTCGAATCGATAAGAGGAGCTATAAACGACAGCTGGGACTCGACAATTCGGTACTTTTTCTGTTCGTTTACCACCCCCGAATCCTCCATATCGATTGACATTCTCCGTTTCCACCGATTCCCACCAATCCCCAACCACCCCCGACCCCCACTGCCCCCCGTCAGTCTGCCACATATGCCCAAAGATTGGACACGTGCTCGCACCGTTTGTCCTTGCTCCCGTACCCTCCCACCCCCACCCCCACCCCCCCGCGAACCACCCACTCTTTCTAGGTTTTTCTCAGCCCCCAAGCCCCTCCGGTTTCTTCGAATCCCTCTCTTGTTAATTTTCGACGAGCGATCGGAACGGGACACCGGGACGTAATGTTGAATTCTTACTAGTAGAAAACGATAAAGCAGTGATATTTTTGACGGAACTTTTGTATCGACGAAGTCGGAGATTTTTTGGAAGCGACGAAAATTGTGATCGGTGTTATACCTTGAATTAATCTTAAGAGTTACACATTCAAATAGTTTGCTGTTGTTGACGATAAAACGTAGAGCGATCCCCGATGATCGAATTCAGATTTTTTGCAGCAATTGCAGATTTTCGCGAGTGCATACGTGTATACGTGAGAACGTGCGCGTATTTACGCATGGTTGGGTGTACGCGTACACGCGTATACACGTGTACACTGTATATGTATTTGCGCTCGGTGAGTGTGAGTGTGCGTGTTGCGTTTGCGTTTGCGTTTGCGTTTGCGTGTGCATTTCAAACGGCGCCGCGTGAAAGGGTGACTTGGCGAGAACGAGCAGCGTGCGATCATGAGCGTCGACACAACAAGAGATTTAAAAAGAAAAAAATGTAAACACCACCCCCCGTAGCGATTAGGTTTACGCGCGTAGATATTGCGCTCGCGCCTCATGAGTGTGTACCGCGACGTCGCAGAAACAGAGATATGTAGCGCGTACCAGCGCAGTCGACGAATATTTTTACATTCAACGATTCAATTTACGAGTTGTAACGAAATACCAAACGATTTCACGCGCGGGCAGACTCTAGTTCAGGGGATGGGCAAAATCGTCAGACAGGAATATTTGAGAAACAAATCGTTGCACATAAATTGGAAAAAATACACTGGCAATGGACAAGCAGAAGTTTCACTGTTCGGATAAATCGATATACAGTGGTGCCTCGGATATTGAGAAAACCTGCTCAGATTCGAGGTCAGATGTCATCGTATTGGTTATGCTTGTTGGGCTAGAGTGAAAGGTGGTTGGCTGATGAAAACAACTCACCTTGAAGATTCATTTACGTAGATAGACGTTTCCAATATTGTATCATTATGCGAGGTATCGCTGTACCTAATTCGTACTCGATTCAAATTTTGCCCATCGGCTGCGCTTTGAGTCGCGTGCGCGCGAAACTCGTGGAAGAAAAATTCATCGTTAATTACACGAACACACATACAGCCATTTCACATTACACCAAATGAACACAGACACGCACAAACAAATACACATACAGATACACGTGCACAGAGACACGGCGTACGCAGCGCGACGCACAAAAATTCGGACAGGTCTACACGTACACGCATCGCATATGTGTACACGCAAGTATCGACTAGCACAAACAAGAAAAAAAAATGGTAAAAAAAAAATACAGTTAGACTAACGTTTGTATGTTGTGTAGAGACAGTGTATTATATCGTTGCACGCGAAATGCAAACATTTCAACTGGAAAATTCCGATTTGGCGCGAACTCGTTGAAACGGGACGCGTTAAAGCGTTTACGAGCGAGAGAGAAAGCGTTCACGAACGATTAGACGCGACTTTTGAAAATGTCCATGATCAAGTGCCAAAACTACACGCGGACCTCTGCTTTTCCTCGATCATCGCGCACCCGCAAGTACGAATAGTCGCGTTCGTGGGCAAGGACCGTGAAAAAGAGCTTACAAACGTACGATATCAATTAAGGGCGAGTTGTACACGTAGACTTTAGTTCAGTGGTTCCGTACTAGGGCCCACTATTTTACGATACACTCTATTGCACGATACACTCGATCAGGAGTATAACAAGGTTTGCATACAACTCGTCGATATATAAACACTGAAGAAATAACATGTTTAAGAAGAATATAAAATTCGTGCAATAGAATAGAGACGGGCAACTGGGTTTTCCGTGAACCACAGGCGAGCACAGTTACGAGTCCGCCCACATCGCAGCGAGACTTGAACGGACTAGGACCAATCGCGCACGACTTCTACGTTCTCACTGCGTTTGCTCTCCTATCTTCATATGTCACTGTGACGTCACTTATTTCTGTGCCCGTCAGTGGCACGCGGGCCATCTTCTTGCCCATGCATGGAGGGTTAATACATGTACCACATCGTGGGCTCTAGTCTGTGTTGCGCATATATACCGATCACCGAATAGATTTTGTCGATAGAGCAAACCGGTCGCGAACGTTTTGCGGTTTAACGCGTTCCGTCGCGACGCTGGGAGCGCGCGTTAATTCTAAAAACTTTTAGAGCCAAACGAATCGTCGAGATAGGTAGGGTATACAGCTAACAGTACGCGTTAGTTCGAACTGGATGCGAATTGGGCCTTATACCATGGATTACCTCAATCGTAAGCGGCTTACGAGTCAAGTTCGAGTTTGCGATAAACGATAGCGAGCGCTAATAGGATTTTAATACGCGCGTGATGATGATTAAAAAAAGAAAAAAGGAAAAAAAAATATAAATAAACGCGTCGTCGTTGCTCGACATTTACGAGCTTAGCGATCGAATCCCCTTAACCGAATCCGAGTTACCGGTTCAGCTGGTCGCGGTAGAATCGCGTGTTACAGTACCGTAAAACAATAAATACTACTTCATGTGGTAGAGCTTCGAAAGGTTCGTTGTTCGTTGGTCTGAAGGATGATACTTGTTGTGGCATAAAAACAAATATAGGGAGAAAGAATGAAGGAGGCTAGTTCTAACGAAGGATGGGGTTCAATTTTCGCAATGAACGATAAGAGTTTAACGGCACGTGAGAAGAAAATATGAGAAATACAACGAATCGTAGAGTCGTAGGTAGGAACGATGAAGATAGGCGTAGAAAGAGAAGATAAGAAATGAAGAGGAACAAAGTGTTTTGCATTGCGAACGTTGAGTTTTAGTTTCTCGAAACTGTTTTACAGAGAATTTAAATATCTTTTTGAAAGTCCTTTTCCATTTTACAAACCGAGGCTTCGTTATCGAGATATAAGCCGCTAAAGTTTTCGCGCGACCATGACACGTGCCCGTGACTTCCGCTCGCATGATCGGCTGACTGGAATAAAAATGGCGCGCGCCGAAAAACATATCAATGAAGTTCAACTGGTCGTATCACAGTGAGGAAGCTTCTAATTGCAAAGTGGAAAAAGAGTTTTCGCGTCGAATGATCGCGTTACAGTTGAGCGATGTTCTAGATTATAAATTAGCATACCTTCTCACCTTTCTCTTTCTCTTCCTTTTTATTGAGAAGCATGTATCATCTCAGAGACCAAAAAACAGCGACTATTTTTAAAACTCTACGATAAATACTTCTCCGAGGAACGGTCGATCTTCGGTCTCTCGCCCTCTTTCTTCTATCTGGTTTCATTTGCTCGGTGAACTACTACTACTACTACTACTACTACAACTACAACTACAACTACAACTACAACTACAACTACAACTACAACAACAACAACAACAACAACAACAACAACAACAACAACAATACAAACGCGTATCGATTCGGCGGAGCTGCATCCGAACGTGGACGTGAAAATGTAACAAGAAGGGGGGGGGAGGAGAGAGAGTGAAATGGTGGAAGCGCGCTCGGAGTTTTGTCGTTAGAACGCGCGCGCGCAACTGTACAAGGCAATCTACAACCTTATGGAGATATTTTACAAGCATTCAAAAAGAACTTATTCTAAACCAAAAATATGTTACGAATAACTTGTTCTCACTTTGGAGTTGCAGGAATACAAAGGAACATTTAATTGGCTAAACTCTCCAAAGACAATCCGTCTTGAGGATAATTATGAATTATAGTGTTAGAAGAGTGCTACAGGCCCCGACCATGGGATGGGCCATAGTAGCCATTGGCCCAGTTGCTAGTAGCGTCTGCGTGACTCGATATTTAGCTGCGTGTCTGCGTCTCTGATGAAGATAGTGTACCTACCTCTAGGCGACGCTTTTTGTAACCGCGACGAGGATGTCTTTGATTGGTCAACTCCAAGTGGAAGGAGCCTGCATCACTCTTTCGCTGTCTTTACACCTCCCGCATTAATCAATGTCTCGACCTCTGACAACTCCAAAGCAAGAAAAAAGAAACATCCTCGCCCAAGAATACCTCTTGCAAAATATCGCCGCAAGCTCGTAGATCGGCTGGTAGATCAGAAAGCCGCTGAGACCCGTGGAACTCGATGAAATAACCAATGAAAAAAAAAAAAAACGAAGAAAGAGCGAGGCGGCTTGGAACGCATATCAAACGGTGGAGATGAAGGCGGCAGAAAATATGTATAGGGAAATACGTAGTTAGAGAATGTAGCGGATACAAAGTGATGCATTCTTCGCTCACTGGACACGCGCGAGAGACGCTCGCGATGGATCAGCTCGAGCGAAACGGGACCCGGAGAGAAACGAATTTTTACGCCAAATTTGGGGGAGCCAATAGCAGTAGCGAAAAGAAGGGTAGGGGGTGGATGGAAGAAGTGGTAGAGGTAAAAATTTCAGCTATCGATCCATCTGGACGCCTCTCACGCGTGTCCGGTCCTCGCAGCGCGCAACACTGTATATTTTTTAGCTTCGTATTGCATACACGTACGTTACATAAAAAAGAAAAAAAAATCGATCGTATCGAGAGAAACAGATCAAACAACTAACTAACCTATGTACTCATGGATGTTACCAAAACAAAAACCGGAAAAAAAAGCAGCGAACCACGCTGGCAGACAGCGTTGGACATTTATTATAGAGATGCGTGGCGCACGTAATGCGCGCCAGCTCTGTCGGTCCGGCTACGGGTTTAAACGTCGTATCGTTTCCGTGTCGTAGTGTTCCCCACTGTTTACCCCCCCGACCCCCGGGACCCCCCGAAAAGAGAAGCCCACACCCCCAAAAAACCACCACCCCCGTCGAAGCGCATCAATTAAACTCTTTGCCGCTTAGCCGTAATCTCGATATCGCTGTGTGTTTTCCTTCGTGATATCGTTTTGCGTTCAGGTGCAGATCGAACGGAGGCGTTTATTATTTCCTGAATATCGCTTTGACGCTCGATATACGTTATGTATTCGAATAAAAAGGAATTTCGTTTCGGAAAGACCGCACTGCGTACGCTTCGTTACCCTCCATTAGTAGAAGAGAGAGGGAGGAGGCGCGAGAGCTTGTTTATTTCTGCGGAAGTTCTATGACTTTTTTTTTTTTTAGAGAGATAGGTGACATATTCTTTCATACAAAAAGTAGAAAGCATTTGATACCTTGACTCCCTCGAATATGTATTTCTTGAAATTAAATCGATACAAGAACTTTTTGAATTTCAAAGCTTAGGTCTGATTTGTTTTAAAGCGAACGCAATTCTGTGTTTTGTTAGTCAATGTTTGGTTCGAAAAACTAGAACGGAGAATATTGTTCGAATGTCACTATAATGTTGGAGGGTTGATTGAAATTATCGACTCGACGAGAGGGAGGTCCATTCAAACTGGAAGAGCTTTCAGTTTTCTAGCATTAATGGCGAGGAATATATTAAACAATACAACGGGGAGATCGATAAGTAAATGTACAGCGCTGGAGGAGTTCAAGAGGCACAAATAATAGTTCGAGTAATTAGTTCGTTCGCTTTTCACAGAACACAGGGTGGGGAACGTTGGTCTAAGGTTTACTGGGTCACCTTCTTTCAATCGTATTTCTGTGATTTAAAGATGACAGCTCTTCACATATTTTATCGAACATTCCAATTTATTGTCCTCTTTCAGTATTTACTTTCATTCATTATGTTCGTGCTAATTGTTCACTCGACGTTAATTTAATTTTATTTCACGATATTCAAGATCATGTAGCTGTTAAGATGACATCCCAATGACGTTGGTGCGCTGTAAGAGTCGCGCGACCGTCGTCATCAGTTTGAATGATGTTCGCTCTATCAAGAGTCGAGTCTTGATACCTGCTGTGTTTATCGCCAGGCGATAGAGGTCTGCGTAGAACTTCAATAAAGAGAAGAATTAATAGTAGATAGAGAAACATAAAAAAGATTCCATTTACCTTGTTGTCTTCATCATCAAGGGGTAAGTCTGAGAATTCAGGGCTGACCTCGGTGCAGCGTATGCGCATGGTCCTCGAGTGCGTTACTAGGAGCGTTATGCTCGTTCGCTGAACCAACAAACATATTTGAAAACACCCAACCCCCGGAGAGAGGGTTGTAAATCCATGGCAATAATTTGAATTGAACCAGTAGATAGGACAGCGAGTACTTTATAGCTTCATAGAGAGAGGAAAATGGAGCCTACAATTTCTAAAAGCATGTAGAAACAGAGTAAACAGATACAACTGTAGAGAAATTGGATGAAAGTTAACAAAATATTATAGTCCAGAAGATTGACGAACAAGTCACCGAAAACTTAACCCTTTGAACTCGAGGTCTTTTTTTCTGTTATCTACTCGAGATGTTTCTTAGCATTGTATTGCCATGAATTCTAAACTATCTAGATTTGAGAATAAGGTCACCTTTACCTCGCCGACAATCATTTTATCGACACTTGGAGCTCCAAAGAAACTAAACCTAAAGAAACATTAGGTATTGTAAATTTGCTGCGTGAAACCTAATGGTGACTGAGAATCACCTCCCGAGTGCAAAGGGTTAAAAAATAGAGACAAGAAGGCTTCCACGACCCTCAGCTTCGGTATCGATCCAGCCAGATCATAGATCCCTCATACCAAGGTTTAGAAATATCTTAAAGAACCTTTCTTCAAGTACCCTGAAAGTACCTTTCTTGAAGAAGTCTGAGTAATGTATTCGGAGAGATACCTCTTTGGCAACGCAGCCGTGGACCTCTTTGAACTGCAATACGATCTCCCAGAAGCCGCGCGTCGCGTTCCATCGAGACCAGGCGAACGTGTAGGCGGTAGACAACAAAGCCATGCACTCTTGCAAGTGTTTCTCCGCGATCGGATGCTTGGTAGCCAGTCCTTTCAAATAGCTCGCGGCGTCTCGCTCAGGAAAGAGGTCGCATCCGACCTGTTGCATTCGCTGGTAAGTGCGAACGTTTGCTAAAATACTCGGTCAAACGACACGGTACCGCTATTAAAGTGTTTTCGAAAGAGGGTACATACTTCGATCAGGGACTCCAGCTCGATGAATTCTTTGAGTATCCCTTCGAGTGGCTTCGACGAGCCACCTACGAGCGAGTTCAAACAGACTCGATCCTCCTGCGTTTAAGATGACAGAAGAAGGCTTTGCTGATTACTCGAATCGTATTTATGCCACGCACAGAATTTCTTTATTTACTTTACGATACTTGGTTTAGCCTATCGAGGTTTGGTTGAATTCTGGTGGCGTTAGTCGGTGAACCAGGCATGGGCAACTGGGAGCTTACGAACCAGTAGTAGAGGTTATACTTGCTATAGCCATGGTAGTATTAACCTTTTGCACTCGAGATATGACTCTCAGTCACCATTAGGTTTCACGCAGCAAATCTACAATTCACCTGATGTTTCTTTAGGTTTAATTTCTTTGGATCTCCAGGTGTTGATAAAATCATTGTCGGGGAGGTAAAGGTGACCTTGTTCTCAAATCTAGATAGCTTATAATTCATGACAATAGAATGCTAAGAAACATCTCGAGTTGCTAGTAGATACCAGGAAAAAAGGCTTCGAGTGCAAAGGGTTGAACATCTATGTGTAGTAGTGTCAACGTGGAGTATTGCTCGCAAGCATCCATCTTGCCCATGCCCATCGTGCCACTACCTGAACCAGTATTTTTCATGTCGTACAGATAATACTTGAAACCCGCGATATCTTTGAAGGAAAAAATGCCCTGATATTGACGTAAGAGTTAAGTCAGGTGATCAAGTATCGTACTCTGACTATGAATTCAGCCTGAACCGTAGCCCCAGTGATGCTCAAGACCACCCCGCCATTGAGACGGCCACTCTTCCCCATTTCAGGCTTCAGTTCCCAGCTTTGGAACGGCAGATTCGCAAACTTGTAGGCGGCTAATCCGTGAACGCCTAATTTACCGCTTCTGAAAGCGATCGTCTGCTTCTCCTCGTTGTACTTGATGTCGTGGACGTCCTTGGTCGACCACATATTCTTCTCTGTTATCCAGTGGGCGACCAATGGCGGCTCGAACCAGAAAACCGTGTCTGGTAACCTAGGAAACCGAGTAGGATCACCCAGATCGCAAAAAGATGTGAAATATGAGCTACAGGGTTTCACTAAGGTTGAAGAATCATCAAGGCGTGATCGAGTCAGGTCAGAAAGAGTACGTATAACCTAGAAAAATACAAACTCGAGAGTAATCAAGACTAGCGCCTCCATTGCGGTTTCCAGAGCCTTCATCTCCGCCTCGATTACTTCTGGCGTCCTCTCAGAGTCGGGCGCTGGCTGTGGCGGGACGTAGGGCCGCGAAAATTGGACGAACTTTGGTTCCTTGGGCAGCTCGACTGCGAGGCATATCCAATATGGATGAAAACGTATTATTTATCACATGAGAATTGCATCATCTCGAATAGGCTGGACTCACGAGTTGTCAGACTAGTCTCTTGACCCAGGTCCTTGGGTTGCGGTGGTTGATAGATGAGGTTCACGTGAAACACTCCTCCGAGGATTCTGTATTTCCGTAAATTGACTTCAGTCTTTTCGCATTTAGTGAACAGCAACTTTCGAGCCTCTTGTCGGTACTCCTCTGCGTTTGAAAAGGTATACCGATCAAGATTCCAATGCCTGGTGCCTTCCGAAGAGTCTCAAGATAAGCTGATAAGCTCACCTTCCCTCTGCCGAAGGATTTCGTTAGGCGTGGGCAAGTATGGCAGAAGTTCCGTCTCAGGAGGAACAAAAGTCGCCAGCTTTTCTTCGAACGCAGGAAACGCGCCTTTCGCCGACTGCGGTTTCTTTTGTTTCCTGCCTCGTTTGCCTCTTCTCTGAGCGCTAGCTGGGACAGGTGGGTTCTCCATCCTTTCTAGTATCGCCTTCTTCTCTTCCAATCGCAAGCTTCGTTCCTTAGCTTGCTCCTTTCGTATCCTAAGCTTCTCTTCGTGGTCTCTCTTGGAGAACTCCAGGAGGCCTGAGCGTGAAAAAGAATGTAAAGAAACGAAACCAAGTGAAAAGAAAATGTTCAGGGAAGATCGACGCACTGAGAGTACTGTCCCACAGCTCCACGAGTTTCTCAGGAATCTCAGGAATCCAGTAGGAGTTCGTATCGACCGAGTAATGGTCGTAGGCCAGCCAGAGGCCACGAATCGCCATGGAGTGGCAGTCCACGTCTGCTGGCATTTTAATCGTCAGCTTCATCTCTTCGAATTGGACCTCGATTGGCTGTCTGTTGGAATCACCAATGTGTCCAGTATTGATTTATTATTATTATTATTATTACTGATTGGTAGACTGCCGGATTTTTATGCAAAATAAAATCTTCACGAACGTGCCTACAAAAATTGAACCTAAATAGGAATTTATTTTATTCAGCAAATATTATGAACTTTACATTCAATCTTTTTTATATTCTTGCATATTGTTCGCATTTCGTAGTTTCTTGCACATTAAAATTTCCTATAAATCCATAAAGCTCCGCAGTCTACTGATTGATTTACCTCTCCTTGTCTGTAAGTCGCTTCATTCCAACTGGCAGCGCTATCGGCGCCCAAACGCAGCATACTAGTTTGGTAGACACACGAACGTATCTGGTCGTCTTCATGTCCTCTCTTGTCATGTTCGCTTCGATATGGCGCAGCAGTCTGTAGCATGCGTGATCTATCCATAGCTGAAGCTTCTTACGCAGCTCTCTGGCGATCTGAGAACGGCGGAGTGACGACGTCTATTTTTAACCGACTTCGAAAAGGAGAAGGTTACTCAATTCGACATGTATATGTTTTTCTTTTTTTTTTTTTTGTACAACGAGTGAGGCATGAGAATTTTCGAATAATTTCGATGTTCCTCTTCGAATATCATTCTTTCGACTATTTAAATATTATTGTTCGAATTCACCCTTCTTTATATGAATGAAATGCTTTTTAAATCCCTGCTATTTATCGAAAAACTCTTTTCAATATTCAAAAACACAATAACTCCAAGAAGACAGCACAGCTAAACAAATGTAAACGAATCGATTTCTTTTTAGTTGATACATAAATATGTAGAAACTTTGAGTGGTCCCTGCTCTAGTAACACTCTAGTAGAAATTCACCACTTCGCATTCAGCCGCATACTGCCTCGAAATGATCGTGGAGAAACGAATGATCCTCTCGAGCTTGGTTAATAACTGCAACGAATATCGATACAGGGTTACCTTCGACGTTTAATCGTACAGCGAAACGCAAGTGCGTACTTGATCGTAATGACGCGCGCTACCTACGTCAGTGATTACATGACATTTGTCCGCCATCACGTCCATGGTCGTATTCTCATTCTCCAATGTCCAAAGAAACAGAAAGGTGTTCATGTCGGACAGCGACCCAGGATCTGGTAGACCGTCGCAGGTCATGTATCTCTCCCACTAAAATTCGTAATACATTAAATCGATTCTGCTTTCAGAAATCTGTAATCGGGGGACCGCTGAATCTTCCAGCTGTACCAACATTCTCTTTTTCTTCCAAGATACGCTCATTCTCTGTGTACGCTGACCAGTGCCGAAGCAGAATCTCTCGAGTCTCTTCTAGCTGAGCCTCGCGATCCGCAGCTTCCACCTCCTCCAGTTTCGCCTTCTGTTGCTCGTTGTACAGCTCCAGCCGGATCTGCTCCTGCATGTCCTTTATCATCCGGTCCCTGTGATGCAACATGAAGTAGAGAACGTGTTAAGCACAGTTTAATACACAAATTAACGCTTCAGGAATTAAAAACCTCGAGTATTACAAATACAGTAGAACTCGGTCGGAGCCAACCAAGTCTTAGATGCAGTAGAGTACAAGTTCGAGTAAATGGAGTTCTACTGCATCTAAGACTTGTAAATTTTGAAAAAACTTGTAATTTCAATCCCTATTTACTACCTTTATATCGATGCGAATTCATCTTTTCAGACATAACGCGCCTTTCTCTATCATTTACCTGATGTCCCCCGCTTCCTCGCCGCCACTGATGACAGTGGCACCATCGCCAGCAACGGACGCAACCTCCGTCTTCGGGGAAGCTTTTCGTTCCTTTCTCTTCATACCCCGGCGTCTCTTAGACTTAACCGTGGCACGCGCAGTGGCCTTCTACATCGATGGAGACCGAAGAGGATCGAACACGTTTCGTTTCCAGATCGCCTGCGGCGTTCGCGCGAACACAAGCCTGTCGGGAATGTGTCGCAACCTGAGAACGCGTCGACGCGTTTCGAGGAACTCGGAGGACGAGCCAGACAGTGTTGCGGATCGCGGGACGCCGTAGACGTGGAAGATGAAATGACGCTTAATCTGTATCCTCGCTAAAGCGAACTTAACCTGCCACCCTCGCCACTTCTCGAACTGAAACGTTAGAATTTCGCATAAATAATTAACTCATTTATGTTTACTAATTATTAGACTACGGATCTTTATTCAAAATAAAATCTTTGCGAACGTACATACAAAAATTGTACCTAAATAGGAATTTATTTTATTCTGCAAATATTATAACACGAACTTTACTTTCAATCTTTTCTATATTCTTGCATATTGTTTGCATTTTGTAGATTCTTGCACATTCAAATTTCCTATAAATGCATAAAGATCCGCAGTCTACTAATTATTAAGAATGAAAATGTAATGCGAAGATGAATCGTGGTCTACCAAGGACTGTACGCGACGAGGATCATCCGTCGATTTCGCGAATTCCTTCCATTTAGACGGTTCTCCTTCTGTTTCATACTCGTCGTACAAGATTTCAGACAAAACGCGAGCTCGTTCTTGTATTTCTTGGCTTTCTGACCATTCTACTCTCAGAGTTTCCCTGGAAAACAATAAATATGCATAGTGTATCTAGTTTTGCCTGATTGCTATCTTACATGGCGGGTCAAACCTCGAGTCATGTTCGCCATCCATGAGGTCAGAGGTCAGACGAACGGAGGAAGCTTTCACATTTTCACGCGTTGGCGCTGTGGCCGACGTCGATATCGACAGCGTCGTCGACATGGCGCTCCGATTCGAATAATCAATGAGTTTATCGCCTCGAGATTCTTAGACCTCGTTTACGCGTTTACTATGCGCGTTTGTAAATCAAAAAGTTTACACAATGCTCTATAGAAAGCGATAAACTAACCCAAGATTTTAGCGGCCCATTCTTTTCCTTTAAGTAGTTTAAGTTGAACTGCACTATAACGTTTCAAAATATCCAAATTCTATGAAAGTATAACAATTTTTTTCCTAAATCGATATGGGACCACTTTAAAATTAATGAATATGTAACACACTGTTATTCCGTTGTTTTATTATTTACGACGTTCCTCCAATGTGTCCCAGTTTTATTACTCTGTTTGAACAGCGATAACGATAATTATTGTGACTTGCATATGTTACTTTTATCGAAGTTCTAAGCGTCTTGACTATTTAATGCCTTCCAAGTTAAAACACATTCTCTTCACGAGCATAATCCTAGATCTCCTCGAGTGTGACTTATATCCGTTCCCTGAGCTTCGTCTTCATTCTAGAGAAAATGATCCTTCCTATTCTCTTGATTGGCCCATTTGTGACTCTCCCATTTTCCCTAAAACGAGGACGAAGCCTGAGGATTTGGCACAGTTGAAAAGATTCAGGAAGAGAATTGCGTCGAACAGTAAGAAAAAAAAAAATTGTTCAAGGTGACTGCGTCCAGGAGAACCACTGAAATCTTATTAGATTAGGCTTATTAGTCTTTATAGATCTGATTTAGAAATTCAATAACCCCACGTATTGCGATCCACTCCATTGAAGCAAACGCGGCCACTGACCTGCAGTTTGGCCGATACGATCCATCGAAGGTCGAAACAAACGTCCGACGAACGATCTATCGCAGTGGTTCCCAAACTTTTTTGTCCTACCGCCCCCTTTCCAGAAAAAATATTACTTAGCGCACTCTGGAAATTAATTCTTTTTAAATTTTAATAACAATCAATATATATATATTGATAATATAATAATATAATATATAATAATATATATGTATTAATGTTTCTACCCTATTCGTAAAATATAGTAAATGAAGATGTAAATTAGAAACATTGAACTTTGAAATTATGAAACTATTTATTGAATTCGGAATAGAATGTAATACAAAACAAAGTTAAAACATTGGAAATCATCTTAATGAGAAGGATGAACCTGGTGTGCTGCTAACAATTTAGTAATCCTCGGCTCTATTTTCGCCAGCAGTAATCTTAAATCACCGCGATTGTTTATTTGCAATTGGTTTCTTTTTTTTTGTTAATAAATTGGTTACCGCACTGAATCCACGTTCCACTAAATATGACGAAGGAAATGCAATTAAAAACTTTTGAATTACAGCCCACATTGGCCATCAGCGCCCCCCTGAAACGCTGCAGGACCCATTAGGGGGTGGTGGCGCCCACTTTGGGAATCACTGATCTATCGGGTGCTCGAAACGAACCTTTGACCCAATGCCATAGGTAGACATATGAAGATATTAGATTTCACATTGCAAGGAAATTTACAAGTATTCAAACAATCTTGCGTTCTAAATATCAAATTTGAAGAAGACTACTTATTTAAATTATTATACAATAGTAAATTTTATATTTAACATTTTATTTGATATTATTTGTAATATACGTTATTTGTCTTTTAAGCGTTTTGCGCTTCTGAGCGACGAAGGTTATACGACGTTTGACATCTTGATTAATCAAAAAAATAAAATCAAAAAAATATACATGTCGAATTGAGTAACCTTCTCCTTTTCGAAGTCGGTTAAAAACACGCGATGTGAAGTGCGCTGATGTAATATATGAAAATATGACACATTCACGGTATGGTGTGTGTACATGTGAAATGTGAACCGAATACTACCGAGTCTTACCGGAATAAATCGATGTCAGACGAGTGCTTTCAACGCCTCGAATATCAGACTCCCCTTACCAATAGTACCAGTTTATCTATATCTATCTATATCTATATATCGATCTATATCTTCATATGTCTATGGCCAATGCACTATGAAAAAAAAAAAAATAATTCTTTGATGGTCGATGATATTGTTCTTAGGAGAAGTAAATAAATACTTCGAAATATTAATTTTAATTCGAGGCTCTATCTTTGATGACCACTGAAATCCATTTGAGCTTATATTTTGAGCAATTTCTTATTTTTTAATGCGGTGCGATTGATCGAAGATTGATTGAACCCACGAAACGTAATTTGCAGAGAACGTATGCAGCTGATGATATTACACGGCAGTGTTATACAAAAATATCCGAGTCCCACGTCAGAGGTGAGAAAGTTCGACATTTTCGGATGTTTCGGTCCGATTTAGCTCCTCTGTGCACTGCATCGTCACGACTACATCTAAATAATCCACGAATACATATGTAACGTGTGATCTTTGAACTGATCGATCAGAATGAAATTATTCAAAGGTCTGCTTTGTCATTTCCGGCGGATTTCGGTGGTTCGTTCATTCGCGTTTAGTCGTGGCTAGGGAACAAACGGGCATCTAAAAGTGAAGAAAACTCAAAGGAATATCATCGAGGAAAGCGATCAGCTTACTGACATCCACCGTCAGCACGATGGCTGTAAGTTTCGCCAACAAATCGTTCTTTTATTCAACTGCAACATTAACGATCGTATATGAAAACCAGTACCATTTACGTTTAATACATTTCGATAACCTTTAAACCACTAGTATCGAGTAGAAATCAATATTCTTCAAGTACAAAAATAGACTCTTGATAATTGTCAATTAAAATTAATAGCACGACCGATTTGAACGTATTATCGATAAGTAGACTGTGGATATTTATGCAGAGTAATATTTCCACTGATACAAAAATAGAATTGATAGTTAAATAAAGTATATTTTATCTTGTAATATATGTACGGATTTGTGAACATTCTCATAGATTCGCCCGCATGTCAATTTGCCATAAATGCGTAAACATCTGCAATCTATCGATAAGTATAGGGTCATGGAACTTCTGGATTTTTAGATTGAGATTCTTTTCAACACTAGTCCTTCTTACTAGGCAAATAAAATCGACAAAAAAGCGATGGAACGGAACTCGATAGTCGCGTTCTACGCTGAAAGGAGCATCTTCATCACTGGTGGCACTGGCTTCCTGGGCAAGGTGTTGATCGAAAAGCTTCTGAGATCCTGCCCGGGTGTTCGAGAGATATTCCTGCTGATGCGCCCCAAGAACGGAATGTCCATCGACGACAGATTGAGAAAAATGCTTGAATTACCAGTAAGTCGGGGAGATTCGTCGGTAGAAGGGGTGGTTCGATCCTTACTGATTATTTTCACCCTCGAAAAAGTGGATTTTAGTCCTTGAACTCCTTCTCAGTGCCGTGTCTCTCATCTTTAATGATATTTGCCTTGGATTCCGCAGGGATTTTTTAGCTCGCATTTCATTTATATAATTTATTTCAAATTATATCACATACTATATGAAATCTACACATCAGATCTCCCTGTATGCGAAGAGATGCTCAAAACCCCATAGAAGCATCAAGGTTACTACAGGAGGCATTGAATAAGACAGAAGATTGGGCAAGAAAATGGAAAATTAAAATTAACCCTAGCAAATCAGCTCGTATCACATTTACCACAAAACATGTTACGTGCCCAGAGGTCACACTGAATAATGAAAAACTCAAAGCAACAGATAACGTCAAATACCTCGGCCTTCACCTCGATAGAAGACTTACTTGGAATAAACACCTAAAAATGAAGAGAAAACAACTCGACATCAAAATTAAAAGTATATATTGGATTCTGGGACTCAAACTCACCACTCACACTACAAAACAAAGTATTCCTTTACAAAGCTGCTATCATTCCATTATGGACATGCGGAATTCAACTCTGGGGATGCGCCAAGAAAAGCAATATAAATTTAATTCAGAGATTCCAAAACCAAGCACTAAGGACCATAACTGCTGCACCATGGTATGTCAGTGATGATACCCTCCATAAAGATTTAGAGGTACAGTATATCAACGAGGACGTAAAAGAATTTGCAACTACATATAAAAATAAAATAACAAATCATCCCAACGAACTAGCTAAGATACTAAACGAAGCACCAACGAACTAGCTAAGATACTAAACGAAGCACCAACGACAAGGAGACTAAAGAGACAAAAGCCAACTGATCTACAAATGTAAATGATGTTTTTGTTATTGTTAGTAGAAACGCTGCTGAACGTCGTCTACACACGCGACACCCACATTGATCAAATTTGCTAGTTGACTCCAAGAGCCAGTTGTAAATTTTCTGTTAATAATAATATAAACAAAAAAAAAATTATATCAAACTCTAATATTTTATAATTATTTCTGTAAGCTGTTCGACAAGCTGCGAGAAGAGCAACCGTCCTCCTTCGAGAAGCTAATTCCAGTTCAGGGCGACACGGCCGTTGAAGGGTTGGGTCTGGGCACGATGGAGAGACAAGTTATCATCGATCGAGTTTCGGTGATCTTCCACGTGGCCGCGAACGTTAGGTTCGACGAGAATCTGCAAAAGGACATATTCTCGAACACCCGCTCAACTAGAGACGTTTGCATCATGGCGGGATCGATGAAGAAGTTGGTGGCAAGTAGACGTTACTATTTCCTTGATGCTTGATGGAAAAGTCGATTCTACCAAACATCAAACATCTTCTCCCTCTTATATCGTCCTTTGAATCAACGATTGAACACTAATCGACGTTACTTGTGTTTCTTGAAGGCCCTCATGCACGTTAGCTCCGCATACGCCCACGCAGACAAGCCTGTCGTGGACGAGATAGTTTACCCTCCGCTGATAAACTGGAAGAGCGCCATAAAGATGGTCGAAACTCTCGACGAGGAGACGATACGCACTATTTCACCCAAGTACGATACCCCCTCTCTATTTTCACCATTACTTGTTTATTCAGAATAATTCATTGGCATGTTATAATGTAATGGCACGTACATATATAATTCAACAGTCTCCTTAAATGCACAAATTTCTCTACGATAAATGAACAACAACATGATCGGATATCTCGATGAGACAATACTAATGTAACGGTCAAACTTTTTTATTATTACCGTCTTTGTTGTAAACCTGTTATCATCATATTCCTGCCATTTTTCTGATTAAAATTAGACCAAACATGACGTAATTCGCAACATATTTACTACATATTGTCTCACCGAAATGATCCCGGTGTTGGTCGCCATTTTCGCATGTCGCTTCGTCCTCTTCTTCGTTCGCTGTCCTTCTCTACGCTCGAAGTTTGTTGGCAAAACATTCGAAGATACAGTAACGACTGAAGGAGTCATACAAAATCGGAGACCCAAAACATTGCACTCGAAGTTTTTATGTTTTTACGTAGAAAAGGACAGATAGTGGAAAGAGAAAGAGGTCCGAGAAAAAAAAACACTCGACAGAAGCGTATCAATCGGTTCGGAACATATTACACCGGTGAATATAAACTCATCTTATAATGCTCATGTTTCAGCGAGAAGGAATTTTTGTTAACTTTGTTACTTAACGAGATATGATGGTCAAGTTTCGTTTTTCAAATGGAATTATATATTTTTTTTTATACAATGCGATAGTACTTTTCAAGACGAATTTATTAAGCTTTAATGTATTTACACGATTTTTATTAGTTTTCAAGCTATAACGTTTCAAAGTTTGCAAATTTTCAAGAAAATGGGAAGAATATTGGGATTCTTGTTGGGCCTAGAATCCCAAGCGAGACCATCCGTATCGATTTCAAGAACCGCATGGTGCTTACTGCATCAATGGGCCGGAGTTTTCTCCTTGAAAATTAGCAAACTTTGGAACGTTCTAGCTTGAAAACTAATAAAAATCGGGTAAATATATTAAAGCTTAAGGCCCCATACCACAG